TCGGAAGAGAACAAAATCTCAATCACCCATCAAGAGATTGCCCAGAGAAATAACTAAAACAAAGACTCAAATATATGTTTAAATTACATTAAATAGTTCAAATGTAATTTCATCTAAATTTAATGAAGAAAAATAAATTAAATGAGGAAATTGTGATAAAATTTCAAATAATGGTTAAAAATCCAAGATAGGATATGACACATCATAGCTCATCAAAAAACAACTTCAAGAACGAAGAAGCAAGAGCGGTACCATAAAATCAATAAAATATCTGATACAAAAAATAAGAGAAAGACAAAAAGCAAAGTGAAAAAACATTAAATTTTATATTAAAAAAAACTATTAAAATCAATAGGAATATACTACTTAAACTTCGATCTCCTATTTTTCCCTATCGCTTAAACTTCCATCTCTTACTTTTACCTCTCATCAACTAATGAATATTAAATAAAATGATCTTAACCGAGGTAGTAGTATTCCGAAAAGTTGTTTTATTTCTTTTAAACCAATATGCAATGATTTGAATAGTCAAAAGATGAAGTTTCTTCTTAATTTTACAAGTAATAATATCAAAATGACAAAGAACCTACAAAATATTATCAAAGCGATGCATTTATTATGAACATAATAAGAAAATGACGATAAAAAATTAGTTGGTTGTTAGTTTTAATATAAGAACGACATAAAGTGGAAAAAGAATTAACATTAATGTCTTTACTAATATGAACATCATAAGTTTTAAGACTACTACGAATAAATTTTTAACAATGAATAATAAATTTAAAAGAGTATCTCTTAAAAATTAATTTATTCCAATTCACACACAAAAAAAAGCTTTCATAAGTGATGTGATAAATATCTTCACGATTAAAATTTTTTTTTTTTAAAGGCAAGTCATACAGTTAGTAATATAAGTGTTATGAATATCCTAAATACATTGAATATGATGACTTCCAAGCTTTATTATTAATCACTCAATGAAGTTTATTATTTTTATCAAGATTTAACCAAGTAAAAATAGATTCTTCATAAGGATTAATAAGAGGAGAACCAAGAAGTAAGAGAGCATAAAAGAAAAACATACTACTATTAAAATTAACATGAAATGTAATAGTAGATTTGATTTCTAAAATAACTTTATAAATATATTTCCAAAACAACGTATAATGAATTCTATTACACCAAATGGAGCCACAATGACTTGAGCACCAATTAGTCATAAAAGAATTATAATTAATAGCTTTCTAAACAATCTTAGTTTTGTACATAAAATTAATAACATTAATAGAAGGAAACCCAAAACCACCAAAATGTTTAGGTATAATAATTTTATTCCAAATAATGACATGCATTCTCTTATTATCATCACCATGATTAATAAAATTATTCATCATAGAAAATTTTCTTTTTAATCCCTTAGATAAAATATAAGAACGAAACAAAAAATATAAATAACTCTAAATGGTAAAGTTAACTAATTGAAGTATACCCACCGAGGTTAAATACTTTTGCTTCTAACCATCTAAAAGGGAATAAAGTTTATCTTAAAGAACTTGAGAATCCACAACAACTAGTTTAAAATGTTTAATATTAACCCCAAGATAAATACAAAGAAGTGGTTTTATACTAATACCAACAATAGTAGAAAGACGAAGTTGAGTCAAATGATCAACTGAATTAGAATAACAAATAGCTGATCTAGAAAAATCAATCTGAAGATTAAAAGCTTTATTAAAAAATACTAAGCTTAGAAACAAAATGGTCTATAAATTTTATGAGTTTTGCATAACTTAAGCGAGTAAAGTTATCAAGATTAAAATCGTGACAATAATAAGAAATAGCAGGAAAGACATCTATAACAATAACAGAGATAAGAATAACGATGATAAATTTATTGAAGCTCAAAGAGAAAGAAAAATAATATTTCATTTCATCTTTAATAATAAATAAAGGAATTAACATCATTAATACAAGCCACAATCCAATTAATAAAAGCAAAAAAAAAAACCTAAACAATGCATGTAAATATAATAAATAAATTCTTATTAACTCTATTAAATAAAATGTTTAAATCAATTTTAACATACATTAGAATACATGAGTAAACAAATGAAGTGAATGATATTCTAAGCCGAACAGCTAATCCCTCCAATAAACATCATCCCGTGCCTTCGACAATTGGGACGGCTAGAACAAAAGCCCAGTGACTGTCGAAACCCTTCATCCCGCTCCTCTTACTCCGAAATGGACGAAATCCCCGTCGCTTTCTATCTGTCCACTGTTTTTGTAAGTACGCAGAGTAATCTTTCGATTCTGTCTCACTCTTCCGGCCGATCTCTTTGTACCGGATGGCCTGGCGACGTCTTACATGCAGAGACCTTGAACCATTCAAATTTGGGATACATGGCATCATGTAAGGGAGAATGCCACAGGGCCATTGTTGCTGAATCCAGGAGGGTTGAATTCATTGTATCTATTTTGGCGGCATCGGGATTAGGGCAGAGAAGCCGTTGGTGCCATAGCTGGGGTTGATCGAGCACGACTCTCCTTCTGTGCGGTTTCCGGCAATGTTCGGATACATGAGGGTTGATGGAGAAAGAAAGCTGGCTGGGGAAAGAACCATGGGGTAAGCGCTCTTGCTGAATTGATGAAATTTTTCTATGATTGCACTGCTTCGGCTTTTGTGGAAAGGTGGAAGCTTGATGTTGATGGGGTTTTTAGCTTGGGATTGGAGAGTCCTTTGCAGATTTTGTTTATTTAGTACACGTTTAGTATTAATTCTGAATATTTGTGAAATCTTTGATTTAAACCATCTTATTTTAATGTTGATGCCTCTGTATTTGTCTTTTAGGCATGATAACTGAATTCAGAGAAGTGTGCTTGCCAATACCAGCTCTTTTGCGTCTTTGCACCCTTTGATTCTGAAAAGTGGATATTTGAAAAACTTTGCTAGCTAAAATTTTTGTTAAGTTAAACGAATTCAGAGAAGTAAGCTTGCCAGTACCCAAACCATATAAAAAAAGAAGAAGAAGAGAAAGATACGAGATTAATTAGATTTCTAAACGATCATTAAATCAATACTTTTGAATGATGTGGTTTTGCGGGGCAAAGCTTGCGATTTTCTTAAATTTTTTGGAGTTGAAAACTCTGAGAACCTTTTGTTTTTCTTTCATGTGTGCTTACTCATAGGAGTTGCGCGCTGTGTTTTGCAGGGTGTTGAATCCGAATCTGTCTTGTGAATCATACCCAAAAAATAGAGTATAGTACAAGAGATAAATAAAAAGAGGAAGAGAGTGCACGATAATGAACAATAGAATGAGAATTGCGTAATCTTTTATTCATGAAATGACTCCCAGTCTTAGAAAAAAGGGGGTGTGATAAGTGAAGTTACATTTATGCCCCTACTTGAATAGGTTATGTATAGTTTATTCCTGATATTTCACTCTTGTGGGCTTAGGGCCTTATTGCTTTCGTTTTTGGCCAAATAAACTTGGTAGGACTTAGTCGGAGGCGCTGTTGGTCAGCTGAGATTGGTAGGCGTTGCCGGTCGGCTGGCCTATCCAAGTCTTGGTGGGTGTATAATAGGAGAGCAAGCGACTCGATTTATGCTGTCGAGAGCTAAATAAGTAATTGCTACCGATAAGTTTGTCTTCTGCTTGCCAAAAGTCAATAGACCCGATCAGCCAAGTTTGTCGTTCGACATATATAATAGCAGTCAGCCCTTGATTCTCACGAAGAACTTTTGCCAGCAGAGCAAAGTTAAGCTGTCGGGTAGAGAGTGAATCACGATAATTCGACACAATAATCCGACAAGTATTCTGTCGTCTCCAGTATGTCCGTAAGATCTAAGAGGTTAGTCCCTTCTTTATGCTTGATTGCTTCAAAATGTTGAATTTAGGTGATCATTTGCCTTCTGAATGGGTAAGCTGCTCGGCTCGTGTCACATACTCGTCCTTGCAACAGTTGGTTTTGTGTTTGGTTCATTTGGTCGTGTGTCTGGGTCCCTCAGGCCTTCTACTGACGTGTTTTTTCCCTGTTATTAATTTTGTTTTATGGACCATAAGATTTTCTTGAGATCCATGCTAATATAATTTCTATGTACATATTTATTTTGTTGATTTTCTTGTTTCTTGAAAACAGTGGTGCGATTAGAATAAGAGAATTTAATACACAAAAGTAAATATTTTTTATGACTATTCAATGGTTCAATAATCAGACTTCTTGGATTTTTGTGCTCTCAGTTTCTATTAATAGGGATTGAGGGATTGATTTTCCACCTTGTGTCATTTCGCTCTTCAATACGTTTAAATTCATCGCATCACTATGGTGAACAAAACCGCCCGAACTCTAATATCTTCGATAAGGCCATTTATTACCAGGCGCTCAAGGAAATGAGAAGAGAGCCCTCCTCGAGGGTGAAAGGAGCAAGAAATTGTAGTTAAGGATGCAGGCGAGGCCTGACTCAGAGGCTTAGTCGGGGTCGTAGAATTTGCTTTAGGACTCCCTGCGAAAGAAGGTCCGGGTGGAAGAAGGTGGACAATCAGTCATTCCGTCAGTTGAACGGTATGCTTTTCCTGCAAAAAGAGAGATTTTACCTGCCAGTCAGACCAATTTAGAAACTGTCGGTGCTGCCTGAGGCGTAGGGGACTAACGACGCTTTTCTGCCGCCGCTCATCTCACAGGAGAAGGATAGTGAGGATAGTATATCATTTACTGCATTCCTGTGGGATTGAATCCTTTGTATGAGAAATTTCTGTCTTCTTTAGCTGAATTTCATTATTTTATGAATTTCTTTTTATTCTACTTTTTGGTGCAACCTATCTGACCACTGAGATCATGATCATTGATCACTCTCAACAGAGGTTGGCCCCAACGAGAACGCGAATTTGGCGGTCTTGGATAAAGGGCAGGTTGCTGGCGACCGTCTTCTTGGCGAGAATGGAGATACTGGACTTTCGACCGACCCAAGTGAGACTTCGGGAGAGGCGAATGACGGGCAACAGATATCACCCAGATCATTGGGAACTGACTGCGAGAGATGGAAGACTCGTTTGCCCGGTCGGCTAGATTCCTGTAGGGCGAGGAGATGCGTGGCTTGCTGGCTCGTGCCAAGAAGGTGGATCAGTTGGAGGGAGAGATGGCCGCCCTCTATGCTCAGAAGACCACCCTCCATATTGAGATGGCCAGGGTAGATAAACTTAGGTTAGGGGGAAATGTTTTGTATAAGAGGATGCTCTAGCGAGGGTATGTCTCGATTGAAGCAACGAGTGATAACCTTTTCAAGTTTTTTCTCTTGGATTAGTTGCCGAATATTTTATGTAATTACTTTATGAAATAAAATTTATATTATGTCTCAATTTGTGTGTCCGAAGTGGCATGTGACGCGATTTTGAGGGTGGTAAATACAATCTTTTCCTCTGTGACGGTTGTCGACTATTTTTTTTTTAAATAAGATTTTAAAATTTAAATTTAATATAACACATAATGTAATTTTAATTTTTGGTTATTTTTGAAAAATTATGAGATCGGATAGACCTCATATATCTAATAGTTTAAATAATAGCTGAGCACGATACCATAAATAATATATCATCTCGAAGGATGAACGTATCACTTATTGGTATGCTTAACTATCTAAACTTAAAAATTTATTACTTTATTTTGGTCTGCAAAATTTATAGCAGACAAATTTCCTTATCTAATACACAGATTAGACAGGGTTTTGATTATTCTGGGTTCTTAATTCCCTATAGAGACAAACCCCTATAGTTAATTACATCTTAGACAACCGAAGTCACCTAAGAAGACTCTCGATTAATATCAGAGTTTCGTTTTCAAGAATTCAACTTTTAGGTTTCCACGATTGCTTATAGGAAAAGTCAAATAGGATAGTTTCAAGTAAGAACAGTTATTTCCGGAATCCAAATTCAAAGAAGTGAAGAGTAAGAGATGTTGAAGATACTGAAGGAGGTTCAGTGACATCTCAAACTAACCCATGGTTTGACTTTACATCTTTGAAAAGGAAATTATGTGATATTTCAGTCCTGCAAGTTATTTAGATATTCGAGGCTTATATCGGGACTTGTGTCTACATTTCATATGTAAATAGCCCGAGGAAATATGAGGAATTATGTTATACCAAATGATGACCTCGGAATCCTAAAAAGTTTAGGTCTTATATCGTACGATATAAAATCGTAGAAAGTCTTAAAAGATTGTGTGAGAATTTATGTCGTGCTAGACGAACGACCTCAACGTCCTATAAGTATGTTATTTAAATCTATCGAAGCTCGGATGAAGTTTTGAAGTTTCTGTCTCCTTCTTCTATTGTAGTCCCGACTGCTGTCCGGAGATGAATCGTTAATCGACCACGTCTTTATCTCATTACGTGAAAAGAGCAAAGAAAAAAAAAAATCATGCCTCGAACGGCCTATCATAGGAGATTGTATGAACATACTAAAAGGTAGTAACTAAAATCAAGAATACAAGTAAATGTATATACTACAGTGCAATAAAGAAAGAAAAGAAGATATGTAACAAAGTACGATAAAGAAAGATACAAAGAAACATGCAGAAAGATACAAAGAAACATGCAGAAAGGTACAGTATAATATAAAAGAAAAGAAATGTACAGTAAAGAAATAACTATGTATTAGGAAAAGTAAATAAACTGAAATAACTAAAAATGTACTTGGTTAATTCTGGCGAAACTATAAAACAGATTACAATTGCATAATATAAAGAGTTTAGATAAACATTTGCAGATTATAAAAGAAAAGTTAAATGATAAGCATATGAAAATTTAAAGTGGAATATATGATTTTAATTTGGGGTTAGGCTCAGACTAGATTTCCCTTTTTTTATCCCCCAGGCCACTGATATATCTAAGTCAACCTATCAATATCAACTAGAGGTCACCAACGAATCACTCCTATAATCGGGCAGCCCTAGACCCTGTCATTTAATGGATGTGCGAATCTAAATAGTATCTGGACTTACTGGACTTATCTTGTTCTTGTTAAAGATACAATGTACCCATGTGAGATAGTATCTGAACTTATCAGGGTGTGGTGCACCTATATATGATGTTAGGATATGTGACGTATAGTATCTGAATTTATTAATCAATAATATATAGTGCGTCAATGCCTAATAGGTGGTATTTATTATGTAGTATCTGAACTTTCAAAGAAATGTAATATCTATTCTTGTAGTATCTATCGTGTAGGATGTGATATGTATATGTGATGTGTTACAAATGTAGTATCTGTTGTGTAGGGTGTCATGTGTAGTATCTATTGTGTAATGTCTGTTGTGTATCGTGGTATTTATCATTTTGTGGATATAGTATCTATTCTTTTTGCAAGTGTAATATCTGTGTAGTGTTTATTGTGTATCTGTTCTTTTCGAACTACCAATTCTCAAGCCTTTTGAGGAAGGGTCAGGGCTACCAACGACTTAAGGGAGTGAAAGAGCATCTTACTAATTGAATATCGATTTCATGTTTTCAGCCATAAGAAGAGCTGATTAATAGTTCTTTGCATCATTGTCTGTTACCCCGCACCTCGAACTTATTGGCCACTCTGATATTCCATTTACATATCTAATAGTCTTTGAATGTTTTGT